AGTAGTGCAGCAGTTACAAACATCCTCAATGTTTCAGATAGTCATTGTCCGCGGATTTGAAATCGATGGATATTTGGTTTCTTAATGCAAGGTTCACCAAAGGTAGTGTTTCCACCTGCCTCTTAATGAAATTTGATTCCTTGAGCAAGAGGCAAATCTTTGCTGTAATTAATTGTGCTGAAAGATAAAACAGAAAAAAATGAATATGCATCCATCTAGACAAAACTAAATGCACATTTAGCTCAATATTGAGTTTCTAAAATAATTGGTCAGGTCACAAGACATTTTCAGAATTGAGAACATGGATTCAAATGGAAGTACATCAAGGTAGTGTCACAATACTGGAAAGAACCATTAATATGCAGGTTTGCTAAGGAGGTTTCTGTATTCATGACCACATATATCATTTCATTTTTTTAGATTTATTCATATTTAGATTTTTATCCCACTTTTGTTAACTTAAAAAATAACTCAAGGTGACAAACGTATCTAATACTCCTTCCTCCTATTTTCCCTACAACAACCCTCTAAGGCAGATCTGTCAATCTCAAGGCCCTCAGTCCAGATCCAGCCCGTGATGTGTTTAGATCTGGCCTGCAAGAAGACTACTGGAGGAGGCGACTGAATATGTAGCGGGGGAGTGAGCTTAACTGGCGGCAGCACCAGAGAGGCCTGGGGGAGAGTCAGCTGGAGCTGTGGTGTTGCTGGGGCTTGGCTGAGGCCCTGGGACCGGCACGCGCGGCTCCAGCTGATCAAGGCTTCCGGCGGCCTCAGGGGTGGCCGGCAGCCACACGCAGTCTTCTGGGGAAGAGTCAGCTAGGGCTGCGGGGCTGCTGGCAGTTGGAAGGACCCCAGAATCAGTGCACACAGCTCCAGCTAATGAGCGCTGCATGAAAAGGCCAGCCAGGCAGTGAGTGAACGCATGGGTGAGAGGATATAAAAGGAGGGGTTTTGGCGGGAAAGAGTAGTGGGGGGAGAGAAGGCAATAGACAGGAGAGGAGAGAGGAGAGTGTTGGTGAGGCAAGCCTGAGGGAGAGAAGGGGACAGCAACTGGCCCTTTGAAGGCAACCATAATGCTGATGCGGCACTCAGTGAAATTGAATTGGACACCCCTGCTCTAAGGTGAGTTGGGTTGAGAGAAAATGAATGGCCCAAAGTCTCCCAGCCAGAATTCAGTCTACTGGTTCTGAACCCAGCATCTTAACCATTACACCAAACTGGCTCTTTTTAATGTTAATTTTTGTTTTTAATTCAGAGCTGTTACAGAATATCTAATAGATTTAACAAGGCAAGTGAATATCAAAATGGCAGGATGGAAAGAATTAGAATGAACATACAGAAACAATTCTCTCTAATAATTCTGTATCCTGCCATAGAGCAAGTTATGTAGAACCATCAGATTACAGTTAGTGAACCATTCCTATGGCTTCAGATGTGTTATTTAATTAAAGAACAAAAGCAAATGAAATTCTGTATCAAATTAGGGGAGATATGCATAGCTATTCCAAAACAGGAATATTTCAAGGAAAATTTTGTTATCACAGCAGCAATCCTACTATCACTTCAATAAGCATTTCCCATGATCTTTTTTAAATGACCTAGCAACATTTCAGCCACATCACGAATAGTATTATGCTTGACTCCCCTCTCTGCAGTTTCCTCACAAAATCTCACATGTCATCAGATATAAAACATAAAATCCTCTAAAATGCAATTTTTAGTATATGCATGCTTATATTTGTTCTGAATTCATGTATACCATTACTTTTAAGATCAAATTATTAAACTTCTTGACAGAGTATTCTATTCTCCTCTGCAAGGAAATTAGCTGAATAAGCAGTTTGCTGGAAATCCTACATTTAGAACACTTGTATTGCCTTAAATGTGCCTCTAGAGGAGAGAGACAACAAGAGATCATCCTTAAATTTTGAGGGACATGCTTAGCAGCCAAAAAAAGGCAGGGCCAAATGAAAACCAATTTTCATTTAATTCAGTTTTACAATTAAATGTAATGTCATCTAAATTAATTAAATTAATGTATTATTATTCAAAACCTAAGGGACTGGTTTGGACAAAACTCAGCAACACTTTTTAGTGCGGCTGCTGATAAAAACAGGATTGCCAACATGATCGCCAACATCCGATAACGGATATGGCACAAGAAGAAGAAGAATGTATTAAGATAACTTCTTGTGCACTTAATAATTTCTCCTTTTCCCAGTAAGTCTTTTAAACATTTTTCTAAGGGGGTACTACATTTCTGCCCTTTTATGAGTTTCTCTGCCCATCTCTAGAGAGATTAGGAGAACACTTATACGAAGCATCATCAACCTGAAACCCTAGAGCAGGGGTAGGCATGGCTGGCTCAGGAATTCTGGGAGTAGAAGTCCACAAGTCATAAAAGAGCCAAGGTTGCCTACCCCTGCCCTAGAGGTATGCCTGGAAAATTACAAAACTACAAAAGTAAATGGAGGACATCCGATTATGGAAAGTTAGTTTACATGTACATAAACTCTTCAGATCTTACCAAGTGGATCGCCTCATATACTGCTTCCATGAATCACTACCAGATTCTCTTCCACCACCCGTGTGTTTATTACCTCCTAGAAGAGGAAAGAAAATAGAAATTGTATTTCTAAAACCAAGCAGGGCTACTTTGCATTTCCAAGTGTCATAAAAATGAATCATTTTCATAGCATGCTGAAGTTCCCTTCTGTGCATGCGGCAGCTGGAGGTGGGGTGGGGGAGAGGCAGCTGGAGGTGGAGTGGGGGAGAACTGTGGTTCCACTGGGTTGTGGAAAAAAGCTTGGATTACTTCGGCGGGGGGGGGGAGAACTGTGGTGCTAGACTCCCTCTCATTTCTGGGGACTGGCTCCAAACACTCCATGCTGCAAACGTCTCGTGCCAAAAACCTGTTTGGGTTTCAGATCAAACCTTTTTTTCAGAACCAGAGGGAGGCGGGTGGCAGCGGTTTGCAACCTTTCTGAGAAAACCGGTGGGGAGACTGCAAATGGTGATCACATGATTGCAGGATGCTTGACAACCTTTTGTAAAGGTACATGGGTTGCCAAATGGCCAGATCACAATCACGTGACTGTGGGGACGCTGCAACAGCACCTTGGACATGTGTCTCAAGTCCTTTTGTTCAGCACCACTGTGTTTTTGAATGGTCACTAAACAAATGGTTGTTAAGCAAGACCGATCTGTAATCTGCAAATTCTTCAGCACAGATCACTTTCAGAATAATTTTATCAGATAAAATAATAAATTTCCCCAAACATTCCAGAGTGTACACCCAACACCTTCCTAACTTAAATAACAGGTTAAATATATATTTAGTCCAAATTCCAACTAGTTCATTAAATTTCATGCAATGTCGTCATTCTTATATGAGTTATTGGGGAGAGAGGGAATCTGGGGACACTCCCGTCATCATATGAGGTCATATGAAATAGTATCCAATTCTTGAAAAAGTAATTGCTTCTGATCACTCTATCAAGGGAAATGAGTGCAGAAGGGTGAACTGCCTCCAAAGAAATCCAAACGCAGATCCCTATTAACACACCAATAAATGTTAGTCTGTTCACTCATCACTTAACACACTCTCTGCAGATAATA